GTAGACCAGGTACCAAATTTTAGAAATAAGTAATGTTTTGGATGCTAGAATTTTCTCTTTGAATGAGAGATTTCTTTGTGAGAGGTCTTGTATTTTATTTTTGATTTTTTTAGTCATTTCAGACCAGAGTTTTTGCTGGGTGTCTTTCTATATAAACCACATATCCCAGAATAGTAAAAGAATTTTGATCTTTACCAGGAAGCTTGAATCTATTCTGGTTAGATAATTCGACTCTACGGGCAATGTTTGTTAATGGAATTAAAGTAGATTTTGCTTTATTGATGATAGCATTTGAAGCTTTCTCATATTTTGCTAAAATTTCTAGTAGTTTGGACCAGTTAGATAGAGAGCTAATTCCTACTGAATGCTGAGTTATTAATTTGAATACTTTAATATTTTGGTTGATTGTGTTGATTAGTAGATTGATAGCAAGTACATATAGAAAAGGAGAAAGAGTGTTCGGTCCCCCTGTCTTACTCCTTATTCTACTCTGAAAGGTTCCAAGATTATCCCAGAGTCCACTATATGTGCTTTTTGTGTTGCAAAAAGAGAGCTAATTATACTTATAAACCTTTGGTCAAAGTTCATTTTTTCAAGAACTAGTTGGATAAAGTCGTGATTAACTTTGTCAAAAGCTTTTTGTTGGTCTAAAAAGAGAAGCCAGTCTGGTCATTTTGATTTCTTATAACTGTAATAATATCTAATGCTGTATCTGTAATTGATCTTCTAGATATAAATGCCTGTTGTACTAGACCAATTAGATCATCGCATATGGGGTTGACTCTGTTAGCCAAAATTTTCATAAAAATTTTGGCGTTTGAGTTAATCAGAGATATAGGTTTCCAGTTCCCTAGTTCTGATAAGTTGTCTGCTTTTTTTCAGTATTAGAGTGATAAGGCTTTTGCTTCATGATATTGAGATTTCTCCGGTTTCCAGAATGTTATTAAACAGCTCTGTCAGTTTTGGTACAATAATCTCTTTAGTGTTCTTGAAGAATTTGTATATAAGTCCATCTATTCCTGGCATTTTGTTGTTAGGAAGTTTATCTATAACCTGACTCACTTTCTCTACTAAGATGAGTTTAATTAAAGAGAAGTTTTGTTCAGAAGAAACTTGTACCAGGTTGTCAGTAAGCTGCTAAGCTGCTTCTCTGTTGATAGCCTCCTTCTTGTAGATGTCTCTGTAAGATTCTTTAATATAACTCATAATTTGCTCTTGTGATGCTGGGTTGGCCTCATTGGGGACTTGGATTCTAGAACTACAGCTCCCTGAGCTTCTTTTTTGTATAATGCAAAAAAGTATTTGGTAGATTTTTTGCCTTCTTCAATCCATTTAGCATTAGATCTTAGTCACCATTTGTTGGAAAGTAAGATAAGCTCCTCCTGTAATTTGAGATTTAAGTCTTCTACTACCAGTTTAAGCTTTTTAAGCTCCAAGTCTTTTATGAAGCTTTTTAATATTTTTCTCTATAGCTAGTTCAGTTTTAATGGCTTTTGCTATAGATTGGATTACACATTTGTGCCAGTCCCAATCTTTAATATTCTGAATATTTTGTAGCTCTGTGGTGATGTCTGTTTTGAATTCAGAAGAGTTCCACAGTTTTCTGTTGAATTTGCAAATAGACTTCTTTGGGTGTTGGGGCTTAAAGTTAATTTCACTTTCTACTAACAAGTGGTCTGAGTTACTGAAGTGGGTGCATGTATTTGTACAGAGATGACTATAGCTTGTTTCAATTAATATATAATCTAGATGAGTTGCCATTCTTTGACCTTCTTGAGTAGTTTGATAGTAGGTAAGAAAAGGATTTTCTTTTAAGAAAAGTGCTATATCAATATAGTTCTTTGTTAAGCTTTCTAGAAGACCTTTAGATTGGTCATATTGTACTGGTGCTAGGCTTATTCTATTGGTTTCTGGATTTAGGTTGGTGTTGAAGTCTTCTGCAATAATGCTTATACAGTCATTTAAAGTGTCCAGAGATCAATTTCTAAGGAACGATATTCTCTCATCTAGACTAGGTGGAATATAAATGTTGATGAATGAAAAAGCTTGGTGTTTGATCTCTGCTTTGGCTTTGGTAACTCGTCCATTATGTGTTTTTTTTATCGATAAGCTTAATATTCTTTTTGTCTGCTAGTATTGTAGTTTTGGAGGACTATATAGAGTCAAAGCCCCAAATTTGTGATAAGAAATATCTTGTACTTGAGTCTTTTAAGTTGGTTTCTTGTATCATAATTATATCTAAATTATACGATTTTAAGAGAGTAAGAGTTTTTTGAGTCTTAAGTCTATTATTAAGACCCTTAACATTTAGTGTAGTGATTTTAATTATAAAAATTATAGTATTTGTAGACTACACTAAGAGATAAATTTCTTAGTATTGATTTTTAGATCCCAGGAAATTCTGCTTTGAGTTTTCTGAAATTCTGTATAGCTGGGTTCTGTGCTGACTGTTCTTTTTGAAGCTTTTGCCTTTATATTTTTGTTCTATGGGGTTGAAGATAATCTCTTCTTCCATCTTGCTTGGGTTTGTTATTATTTTGTTAATTTCAAAATTCGCAGCTGTAGAAGTAGATGAAGAATCCAATTCCATGTTGCTATCAGAGCTTTTGCTAAGATTTGAACTTTCTTCTAATGTTGCAGTTAAGATTTGAACTGTGACTTCTTCCTTGTTTTGGATTACTTCTTTTATATCATTCTTGTATAGGTTATCTGGACTGAAGTTATTTTCTGTATTCTCTGGTTTTTGTGTTTTTTCTTCTTTCATATCATTTCTATATAGGTTGTTAGAGCTAAAATCAATTTTTGTAGTCTCTAATTTTTGAGTTTTTCTTTTTTTTAATCGAGACTTGGCTTCTCTAAGAAGGCAGCATCTAGATTCTATTAAGGTTTTAAGCTCTTCACAGTCTTTTTTGACGTGTTCTTCTCTTTCACAATAAAAGCAGATTTTAGGAGTTTCTTTTCATTCTGTTGTTACTTTATGATTACCAATGTGAGGATTCTTGAAGCAATTTCTGGATCATCAGTAGTTTCAAAGATAATTAACCATTGATCTGAGCAGACCGTAGTTTCTTCATAAAGGAGAGGTTTAATAGAAACAGTTTGACCAATATTCTGAAAGGCTTCTAAGATACAGTTGCTAATATATTTGGTTTCACCCATAGAGGCATTCTTTATTTTTACAGTTAAAAAAGATTAATTGAGATTAACTGGATTATATCCAAACAGAGTCTGCTTGAAGAGAGAAATGCTTTCAGTTGTATAGTATTGTACTTTTTCTTTATCTTTTAGTTTAAGTTTTGAATGTTCACTACTAGTGCATTCTCATTTTTAGAGTGGATTCTTTGTCTAGGGGTGGATTTTTTTTATTTTTTATTACGCATTTGAGCGTATTTTATTTAAATTACAAGTTAGAGTACATATTTAGGTAGAATGTTTGATAAAGTTAATTATATACTTAGCCTTATTAGGCCTAGTATTTAAGTTTTGATAAGCTAATTTGTAAAGAAGATCGATTTCATATCTAAGTCTAATAGTTATAACATCTGCGATTATTTCTTGTGGTATTGAAGAGTTACCCCACCTAGCTTGAGTATACTAGCACCAAATTTTATAGACTGTTATTATGTGAAGCCAGGTAGTGACTTCTCTTTTTTTTGAGTTTTTTATATTGGTTGCTTGAAAGATTTCTTCAAGTGTGCTCGGTATAGGATCATTTTCTGCTCTTTTAAGTGATTTAATGTGGTTTCCCAGATAATTTTGCATTTTAGAGCAAAGTGTTCTATCGTTTGAGTAATATAGAAGCAGTTTGGGCAGTTCTCTAAGTTATTTTGGTCAATATGAACTAGGTGGTAGTCTAGTGGGAGTGCTCTATAAGTTAGCCTTCAGAAAATATCTTTCTTTTTGTTTAGAATCCACTTA